TCATGTGACAAAATAATGCCAGTGTTAAGACAAAATGGCTACTATAGCTAAAGTATAGTGGAAAACAATATTTTTTTGTAACATCTGACATGTGATTAGGTTATACCTCCAGATTATTAAACAGTTTAGAGGGGGGTATGATTAATAAGGTATGATTAATATAAAAGTTTGAAAATTGAAATGTGTAGAAAAGATATTTTGATATAAAGGAAATTTAAAGATTATACATCACATGACATAAATGCAATGACCACTAGATGGTAGATCTCCTGAGAAGAAATGAGAATGTTTTGGAGTCCATGTAAGTCAATGTTAAACTGTATAATAATAATAATAATAATGAGATATAAACATTGTAAGCCATTTTATTGATGCTGCACATGTTTTTTTTGTTTTAATGTAGGTAAAGCGTGACAGATCCATGTGACAATAAATCAGGAAAGCATTCCTTCAGACAACTGGACATCGACTGTTGGAAAGAGACCTTTCATCTGCTCTGCAAACTGTGATGGAAGATTCTACAGAGATCATTCGATACAGAAGATTAACAGACTTATAAAGAAATAAATTGACACTAACATACATATCAATTACTAAATATTAACGAAGAAGAAAACAGACAATGAAAAGTTATTTAACAGTTATGAGTGTATTAATACCAAAAGAGAGTACTTATAAATGTGTAACACATGGAGTAAAATTATGAAAGGATAGTATTATGAAGAGAACTATTACATTATTACCTATATACAGAATGAGAAGTATCAGAAGTAGATAAAATATGAAGTTGATAAAATAAGGATCATGGTTACTTAATACTACAAAGATTGAGTGCAATAGTATTTCATAGATTCACTAGAATAAATATTTTGTTTATAATCGAGGTGAAGTGAAACAAACAATGGTAACATAAGGAAGAAAACTAAGGAAGGATAATTTATATTGATTTATATGAAGTAATTATATACATTAAGAATGCCTTGGATATAAGAGTTCAGGGATCCAAGAGGAATTGAAGTTTAGTTAGGAGTATAGTACACAATTATATTTGACCTAAGTCTATAAAGGTATGGACTAAGGAGAATAGGTTTCTGGATATAACGATATCCAATGAATACGTTGTTAAATTGTTTTATGATTTCCCTGAGTTTCTTAGACACAGACTAGGAATAAGTTTCTGGGCAGTATGACCCCAAGTTTATTTTATTTTATTTTAGTCAGTTGAAGTGTACTAAGGAATACGGATTGGTCAGAAGAAATGTTTAGGTAACATTAGGGCAATCCTACTTTTATGTTGAGATGTATTACATTAATAAGTCATCACAATGCTAATGAAGAAAGTAATGATATTGAATTTAAATTATTCTTTCCAAGTTCTTTTAAAGTAAACTATGTTTCTGTTGAATGAAAAGTTTGTTACTACAAGGTGGAATTTTAGTCAAAATTATAATTATGTACCATTAAAGTAATTCCGCATGCAGATAACCTCCACAGATCTATGCTGGCACGGCTGCGGGGAACAAGGCACCTATGTGCACATGTGGTGGAAGTGCCCCTCAGTACAGGCTTATTGGGTTCAAATCATCAACCTAAGCACGAACATATTGCAGAGACCATTACAATTAGACCCCTGGGCCTGCCTCCTCTCCAGACCAACAGAAGGCCTTACACGCCCGGAGCAACAATTGTTAAATATGGTTTACTTAGCAGCCCATAGAGCGCTAGCACAGAAATGGCTATGTCCGGAAATGCCCCCCGTGGCACTGGTCTTAGCGAAGATAAAAGATAACTACCTTATGGACAGGTTAACTTCCCTGGTCAGACACACCACCCAAAAATTTGGCAGAATATGGGAACTGTGAGAACAATACCAGGTGAACACGGAGGGTGGACAGGGGAACCGCACACACACTTAGGGCTAATGACAAAAGGGCACACGACGACCCTCGTCCGGGCTGTGGAAACAGACACACCAATTCACCGTATCACTGACTACAATGTTTTGGTTAATGTATGATTTTTGAATGACTGTTATGATATTTTTAGTTAACAACTGTATAAAACCACGCTAATTGAAGTGACATATGTACTCAAAGCAAGACTTCACTGACAAACCACGAAGAGCTGTCCCAGTAAAACACAAGATGACAAATTAACCGCAGACGAGACTAGCAGCGCTAGTAAGCATACATTTTGTCTTAAGGTATTACTCTTCCCTTCTGTATAACTGAACCATCTGAAGGAATATGATAGTGATACACAGTTATTATTTAGAAAGTTACGATCTTGATTTTGTTATCTACAAAGACATGACTGTAACTGAGCAGGTTGATCTTTCTCATTGCTTTGTTTATTGGATCAACACTTGTAAATATTTTATTTTATTCATTTATTATTGTTATATATCTACATATTATGTTCAAGTAGTTATGATGTAACATGGATATGGATATCAATACATAGCTGAAACAGAGGGAGTTTGAAGTAAAGTAAGCAGTATGAACGATAGAAACTCGACCTTCTAAGAACTCTCATATAATAGAAAGTTGTGACTACATCTTGTTCTATGTTCCATGACTGATACAAGTGATGTATGAAGGGACAGGTTAGTGACATTGGGTTATGGTTTTAAAACAAACCATTAACAGAGGGAATGTAGAATATTGCATAGTCTATGTTTCTATTGATTATATGTGGATGTGTGGATTGACATAAGTAACAGATGGTATAACTCACATGGCTTTCTTTGTATGAGAGCTATGGAATGTAAGTTGGGGGTTTTGTCCTTATATGGCTAGAGTAGGTCTCTCTTGGCTCTCTAGCTGTCTCTCTATGTAAAGATGTAAGGATGTAACTCTCCTGTCAGGAGTCCAGCAATTACCATCTGCTGTTGAACATCCATTATCCTATAACATCCTTTGTTGTTTTATTATGTATCAGTAACTAAGAATAAACCTGAAGAAACCGTAAGTCAGATTGCGTATTAGTACTTTTCATTAATATATAGACATATATTAATGTTGCGAGCAAATTTGGCCCAAGACTATATATACAAAAGAGGTATATATATATATTAATCAACTGAAGACAAGAAGAAATTAAGAAGATTCAACATTAACTTTGACGATTCCAACCAGATTTTACAGTAGGACAAAAAATTAGTGATAGAGGGTACTGCTTTTATTTGGTGGCTATCTATTAAACAGCTGACAGATCAAAATGAAGAAAAGGGATTTTCCTAAAGGTTTACTCCAAACATCATAACCATTACAGCCTGCAGTCATGGTCATGATGCCAGGAGTACCCAGGCCTACTTACCCCGGTAATGGGGCCCACCATTTAGCAATGGTTTGCTCACTTACCCGTGTCCCCACTGGGCTATGAGGCTCACTGGTGGTCTGGTGATGCTCTTCTGGCAATGAAAGTTGCACAGAATTGACATTAGCCAATTGTTCCAGGATGGTTGAGGATACTCCAATGATGCTGCCAGAGGTGGAGTTACACCTCCGGCAGCAGAGCAGTTAAACTCTGTAAATGCAGCATTTCAATGCAAAAGTGGTCATTGTGCTTTATTCTTTCATCTTCTTAGTAGAATGCTCTCGCAGTAAAATTGGTGCTGTATATGGGATTGTCATATTTAAGGGTAGCAAATTAGGAAGCTATCTACTACACAGCTTTCTAAACTGGTATCCTTAAATGTTAGATTAATTTTGAAAAACTTAAATTTATTTGTGTGTAGTAATCTAGAAAATATATAAAGGTATAATACGTAACCTAGGAAGGCACAAAAAAGGTAAAAAAATAAATAAATATTCACTAATATACAAATTGTAGCTACATACAATCTGAATTACAAAAACTAAGGTGAAATAGCTGATTTGAAAAAAACAAAATCATCATCTCAGCTACGTTTTGCTTTGGAATTCCAATTCACTATAATTTGGACTTCACGGGGGTACGGGGAAAAGTGAGTTCTACTTACCTGAACATGTCCCTCGTGGGCGCCGCCATCCTCTTCTGGCGGGTCCTCTTCTGCTTCAGCTGCAAGGAGCTGACATCACAGCTGTATTCTTGCGCATGCGCGTAAGTACAGCATAGGGTCTATGTAGGATCCCGCAAGATCCACCATTTACAAAGCTAATTTCCCTGCAGCCCTCACCAGCATCGGTTGGTGTCAGGTATAGGAAATATACTGAGACAAAGTAGCCCCCCCACTTTTTATCAGTATTTCTTTTGACTGGGATACAATGTCAGTGAAATTCCAACACAGTCAATATGAGTATTTCATAAAGATTCTATCTCTATAAATAAAATGACTCATTATGCAAGCGGGGAGGGGAGTGACAGTGCCGCTTTAAATTTGAAATTCACTCTGGCATTCCCTATAATCATTACTTTAATCATTAATAACCCTGTCAGTTATAGTGTAATTATTCTGGGGGGGGGGAAAGCTTCTCACGCGGAACGTTCCTGCCCGAGCTCGGTGTTCCCCGCCGGCTTGTTGTTGTGACAGACGCTGTCCCCGGTTGCTAAGGAAACCAGGCCGGAAGTGACGGCGGAATTTGTTGACAGCGAGATTGCAGGATGCCCAGTGAGTAGGAGGAACGGCTGTGAATGCGGCCCGGACACCGGACCCGAAACCCTACCGGGGCCGGACCCCAAAGCTACAGTCACACGGAGACGGTGTGAGAGGGGGGAAGCTTTCAAGTGACGGACCGACTTCTCCTCTGGGTGTACTGAAAACCGGAAGGTCTTGTAGGGTGAGAAGAACATGTCCCTATATAGGGCAATCACATCTGTTGTATGGGGGCAGCTACCAGGGGCTATGGGCAGTACTGAGCTAATTACTGACACATTATTACCATATCATGTTATTTACTGGGGGGCTTTAACACCTTATGGTGATGGCATATGCTCTATTGTGGGAGGTTACACCTTCATTATATTGGGTTCCATTGCCATATTGTGATATTAATGGGGGTAAATCTCATCCCCTTTATTTTGGATTGGATTTTCACTGACTGATTCAGAAATTACATAAATATAAGTGCATCAGGATGTTTTACCAAAAACAGTGAGTTTTTTTGTTAATTGAATTATTTTTTTCCCCAAGTTTTTGTTTTGCAAAATGAACACAGGGATAGCTGATTTGCAAAGGTCACTAACTAAAGTGTAGATTTTAAAAAATTCATTAATTTTTTTTTTTTTTATATGTATATTTTAGGATATAATAATGTGTTAAAATATAGCTTACGTTGGAGAACATTTCCAGTTTTACTGGTTTGGCCTAAAATATTTACATTTGCTTTGAATTGATGAAAAGTAATGATTTGGTAAAATGTATTTGGGAATAACGATTAAAAACAAAAGTTCAGCCATATTCTTAACTTGAAAATTTGCCTAGGTATTTTTGGTTTTCATTGCAGCATAGTTTAAGAATTAGTTATTGTAACTGGAATTTATTTATTTTTAAGGATTAAAATCATTTGATTGAGCTAGTTCAAGTGTTAATATATTTTATGCCAACTGTGGTAATATAATAATATATTATTTTAGTTTGCCAATTGAATTATATTAAAGGGAAACTATAGTCACCAGAACAGCATTAGCTTAATGACGCTGTTTTGCTATATAGATCATGCTCCTGCAGTCTCACTGCTCAAATAGTGGCCATTTAGGAGTTAAATCACTTTGTTTATACAACCTTAGACACCTTCATGTATGTAATTAAAGTTCAATTTACAAATCTGGAGATAAAAACTTTTAAAGTTAGTTACATGGGATTGAAAATGAAACTATTTTGTTTTCATTCAAGCACAGCCAGGGGAGGTTTGGCTACGGCTGCATAAACAGAAACAAAAGTGATTTAACTCCTAAATGGCAGTGAATTGAGCAGTAAAACTACAGAGGTATGATCCATACACCCAAACTGCTTCATTAAGCTAAAGTTGTTTTGGTGACTATAGTGTCCCTTTAAAATGTCATTATTATGAATTTGGTGGGACTTGATAATGTGGCAGTTTAATATCATAACTTTTTTTCTTGCCTAAATGTAAAAAAACAAGTTTTAAAAAAATATATATGTACCTATGATCATGGTTTCTATGGATTTACATATATTGTTCTACTTTGATTATTAATACATATTGTAAGCCTGCCGAGTAGGTAGTTCCCTAGCCCAGGTGTCTTAACGCTATAATATTCATGATGCTTTGCCTTTCTGGGGACTAATATTGTGTCATTAAAATTGTTATACACCATCTAGGGATCTACCTTTTGGGTTATCCCCGACATAAGTAAATAATTAAACCTCTTATTCCGTATAATCCACTTGTGTCCTGAAAAGTTTTTAGTTTCCCCGAACTACTGAGAAATTTAATATAATTTCACAAATCTAAACTTTTGTCGAGATTTGTAAACCTTGCATTTGAGATTTCGGGACTATTCTATGTAAAAACCCCCAGCATTATACAAGCAGAACTTTCTAGTTTCACTTTAAAGGAACACTATAGCGCTAGGAATATAAACATGTGTTTCTTACGTTATAGAGTCCTGCTACCTATGTAGGTGTCACAGAATGTTTGAAAGGTCAGTATTACTTACCTCTCAGCCCATGCTGCACTTATCTCCTTGCAGCCATTCTGTCTCTTTGGCTGAGATCATCAGTGTTGATGATTTAATTGCATCCATTAGAAGACTAGTGTGCACACGCGACAACATGCTGTGCTGCGCCAATCAAATGCTGCCCAAATATGCAGCATTTGATCTATAACAGGGGTGCACAAAAGGTAGATCCCCAGATGTTTTAAAACTACAGCTCCCATGATTTGTATTTCTAAAGGCATTCTAAAAGTATGCAAAGCATCTAGGGAGCTATAGTTCTACAACATCTGGGGATCTACTTTTTGGGCACTCCTGATCTATAACAAAGGAACAGAAATGTTCTACATTGCAGGTTTTAACAGATAGGGACACTGCACCCAGACCACTTCATTGAGATGGAATGGCCTGGGTGCCTTTAGTGTCTCTTTAAAGTGAAATTAGTAGCTTGAACACTTGTCACTTAATTTTCTTACTGAATTATAGTGAAATTAAATTCAAATTTTAGGTCAAAAAGTGCTGATTTAGAAAGTTTGACCAACTCCGATATAGTCACAGCATGCATATATTCATTGGGGGTATATCTTAAAACAGTTTGCAAAAATGGCAGTTCTTATGTCTGTAGCCTTTGCAAGCCCTCCCCTTTTTCCCTTGGAAGCGACATTAGGACACACCTCTTAATTATTGAATTCAGGTGTTTCAATCAGACCCATTGCCACAGGTGTATAAAATCAAGCACCCAGCCATGAAGTCTGCACTTACAAACATTTGTGAAAAAATGGTTTGTTTTGAAGAGCTCTTTGCATTCAAACGTGGTACTGTGATAGGATTCCACCTTTGCAACAGTCAGTTTATGAAATTTCATCCCTGCTAGATATTCCATGGTCATCTATATGCGGTATTTTTGGAAGTGGAATCGTTTAACAACAGCAGCAACTCAACCATGTAAACTCACAGAGCGGTGTCACCGAGTGCTGAGGTGCATAAAAGTCGCCAATGCTCTCTGATTCAATACCTGAAGGGTTCCAAACTTCAACTGGCATTAAAGGACCACTATAGTGCCCTGAGGGTGCCCCCACCCTCGGGGTCCCTCTCCCGCCGGGCTCTGGGGAGAGGAAGGGGTTAAAATCTTACCTTTCTCCAGCGCTGGGCGGGGAGCTCTCCTCCTCCTCTCCTCCTCCATAGCAACGTCTTCGGCTGAATGCGCATGCGCAGCAGGAGCCGCGCGCACATTCAGCCAGTTCAAAGGAAAGCATTTACAATGCTTTACTATGGACGCTGGCGTCTTCTCACTGTGATTTTCACAGTGAGAAGCACGCAAGCGCCTCTAGCGGCTGTCAAGAGACAGCCACTAGAGGCTGGATTAACCCTATTATAAACATAACAGTTTCTCTGAAACCGCTGTGTTTATAAAAAAAAAAAAAAAAAAAGGGTTAATTCTAGATGGACCTGGCACTCAGACCACTTCATTAAGCTGAAGTGGTCTGGGTGCCTATTGTGGTCCTTTAATGTTAGCATTAATTATGTCCGGCGGTAGCTTTATGGAATGGGGTTCCACGGCTGAGCAGTTGCATGCAAGCCTCACATCACCAAGTACAATGCCAAGCGTCCGATTGAGTGGTGTAAAGCACAACGTCACTGGACTCTGAAGCAGTGGAAATGTTTTCTGTGGAGTGATGAATCACGTTTATCAGTCTGATGGGCGAGTCTGAGTTTTGGTGAATGCCAGGAGAATCTGCCTTACTGCATTGTGCCAACTGTAAAGTTTGGTGGAGGAGAGATAATGGTAGGGACTGTTTTTCAGGGGTTTGGCTAGCCCACTTACTTTCAGTGAAGGGAAGTGTTAATGATTCAACATACCAAGATATTTTGGACAATTCTATGCTTCCAACTTTGTGGAAACCGTTTTGGCTGGGCCCTTTTCTGTTCCAGCATGACTAGAGAGCCCTGACCTTAACACCATTGAACACCTTTGGGATGAACTGGAATGGAGATTGTGAGCCAGGTCTTCTCGTCCTACAGCCGTGCCTGACCTCACAAATGCTCTACTGGATGAATGGGCAAAAATTCCCAGAGAAACACTGCAAAATCTTGTGGAAAGGTTTTCCAGAAGAATCGAATCTGTTATAGCAGCAATGGGGGGAGACCAACTACATATAAATGTCTATGTATTTAGAATGTAATGTCATTAAAGTCCCTGTTGGTAATGGTTAGGTGTCCCACTACTTCTGTCTATATAGTGTATCTCCCCGTGCAAGCACACGCACTGGCTCGTGCATAGCGTTCAGAAAGAACGCTGGTCTGAGAAGAGGTATGCAGGGAACAGGCTCAAGGGGAGCTAACGGAAGCAGGAAGAAACCTCCATGGCTGTCTGACTTCCTGGGGGTGTTCCATTACTTGCTAATAAAAGTTCAGATTTCTTATAGAAATTGGCACTTTTAAAAAGTGCCTTTTTAATAGGGTACTCCTTACCCATAATGCACTCTAGCAAGCTGAAGTACTTCATTGGTGTGGAGTGGTTCTTTAATAATAATTCTAGGCATCTGCATATTGGATGCACTGTGTATACTGGATTACAGTTGGCTATGCCAGGTGTTTGTTCTTATTCGTTTTCACAAGGTTTATGTAAACAATTCATTAAAATGGAGGCTGCTGCATGTGATCAGGTAATAGGGAAAAAATTATAACAGTAAATACTTTGTACACATTGAACTATAGCAGTATTTAATTAAAGGGATACTGTATTCCTGGCACTACCGCTCCTCCTGCCTTCCCCCTCCCTCGTGCTTCCCCTCCCCGGTAAATAAAGTGTTAAAACCTTTTATTTACTTACCGTTTCCACGCGCCAATGTCCCTCGGCCCTGGGTCCACGCTCCACCCCCTCCATTGTCCCACGACGTGTGGGGTCTAATGCGCATGCATTAGACCTGCCCGTAGGAAAGCACTGAATCAATGCTTTTTTTATGGGGAAAAATATGACGCTGGATATCCTCATGTAGAACGTGAAGACGTCCAGCGTCCGATACCGGAGCAAATGTCCGTTTGAATTCCCGGTAGACAGCCACTGAGACACTTTCTATGGAAGTGCAATGTTTAACAGTGCAGCACTAAGTGCAATAGGGACACAGCACCAAGACCACTTCAGTTAGCTTAGGTGATCTGGGTGCCTACAGTGTCCCATTAAGGCAGGGGTTCAAACCCAGTCCTCAAGCACCCCCTACCAGTCCAGGATTTAGGAATTCCCCTGTTGTGTCTAAAGTGTTTGTCCCCACCCGAAAAGTCTCTAATGCAAAATCTTGTTAGCCTTAGTCTTTCATGTGGAGATCCAAAGTTATTAGTTGTCAAATAAAAATATAATTTATTCACCAGGCAGTGAATTGAAAACAAAGTTTTGTAAAATGTACTCCAAAATAGCCAAGTTTAGAATAGAGCAGAACTGGAGAGATTTGATATTTATCTTAAAGCTGTCCGTGGTCGGGGTGGGGACAGGTAAAGGTGAGTTCTACTTACCTGAACCTGTCTCTCACGGGTGGTGACCATCTTCCGAAAAGGCGGAGCTACAGCTGTCAAGCTCTCGCGGGAACCTCCATAGACATCAGTCTTGCACTCTTGTGCATGTGAAAACACAGCACTGACGTGGCTCCTAGCAGATGAAACCAAGAAGCTGAAGAGCATTCACCAGATGGACATGGCTGGAGCCGCAAGGAACGGCATCAGGACATACTTGAAAACAAGAGAAATCTCAATGTATCTTTCCTGGTAACATATTTTATAAATAATAAGTAAAACCTATCTTCTCCTGAATCCCCGGGTCACTGCACTGCAAGCAGCAATATCACCATCACTGGTCATTATTAGTTATGTCGTGAACCGTCCGCGAACTTCTCGCGAACGGTTCGCCGTGGTTTGCCACGAACCGTTCGTGGCGAACTCCGGTCAGCTGACACATCCCGGCCAATCTCCAGCAGACCCTCCCACCCAGACCCTCCTACTTCCTGGACAGCATCCATGTTGAAGGCTGCTGCAACATGGATGCTGTCCAGGAGGTGGGAGGGTCTGCCGGAGATTGGCAGGGATGTGTCAGCTGACCGGAGTTCGCCACGAACGGTTGGCCGCCAACCGTTCGCGAGAAGTTCGCGGACGGTTCGCGACATCTCTAGTCATTATATGTTTTGCAAAAGGTGGCAGCTGGTTTAATGGCACCGGCATTTACAAATAGCATATAATAAATCAATTTAAAACAATAATGCAACATAATTTTCATGGAGCTTTGGACAAGTGCCTGTTCGTGGGCTGCGTGTGCTGACTGCAGAAAGTGTGATGTCCATTTCAGTGCAAGGAGGAGCTTTGAGTTCCACTTTTTTGGCAGATTGAATCAAAATAAATTGAGAAAACAGTGACTTTATCCTAGTGCCATGATCTCTTCAATAAGCAAAAAATTTGTGAGCTGCCCATGGTGTCCCTTTAAGGGTACTCTACACACCAGCCTTGTATTAGTTATTGTTCAATAAGTATTTGTATGCCTTCCCCACTGTTTTGCCAAACAGTTTTTCAATGGCTTTTCAAGCACAAAATACCTGGTCGTTGTGCCACAGATTTGATAATCACTTCTGGATTACCTGTCCAAGTTCATCCAAGTTTGGACAATAGTGATGAGCTTCACAAGATGGGCAAAATTGTCCCAATGCTCACAGGCCAAAATGGGCGAATTGAAACCCAAAAATCAACTCAGGAGCTTTGGCATACATTTTGCAATATCCCTATCAGTTCTTCACAATGACAATTTAAATGGAAAAAAAATCCCATATGCCCTCATATAGTAGAAAAAACTATTTTTAGGCCTGCATATTGAATTGTGCCCTACTGAGAGGGTAGTGGGTGCACGGAATAGCCTTCCAGCTGAAGTGGTAGAGGTTAACACAGTAAAGGAGTTTAAGCATGCGTGGGATGGGCATAAGGCTATCCTAACTACAAGATAAGGCCAGGGACTAATAAAAGTATTTAGAAAATTGGGCAGACTAGATGGGCCGAATGGTTCTTATCTGCCATCACATTCTATGTTTCTATGCTATTGTCAGACTTCAACATTACTATGTTTATAGAGAGCCAGGCCCATAGAGAGCTGCAGATGAACAACCAGACCTTAAGGGTATGGGTAGGTGTTTTCCATATATTTACAATGAGATCAGTCAGTACAAAGGTTAGAAATTGGCTCCTACTAAATGCATGTAAAGCAATTTTAGCTTGTGAGTCACTCAGGTAACATGTTTAGATCAGGCTATGCGTGCATACATTTCCAGAATGGCAAATGCAAAAAAGTCCCCAAGCATGTTTTAGTTTTCCTGGTCTCCTTTTCGAGAAACAAAACCATCTGTAATTTTTGTCAACCACTCCCCTAAAACATTACAAAAAAAGCTTAACAGAAGTTCACGATTGAGTAAGTCAAGCTGCTAATAGGCTGTTTGAGAAATCTCAACATTGATCTATGAGATATGTTTGTAAAAGATATGTGTAACCTTTGTATTTGTGTGTGCGTTATTGCAAAGGATAATGGGAGATGTAGTTTATCGCTAGTAAGAGAACTTTTATATGTTGCTGTAGAAACTGTGCTCTTTATACCAATATAGTTTCCAATTCTGGATTACAGATGTAACATCCTGGAATTGAAAAATAAATAAATGGAGAGATCAAGACCCAAACGTCATCCTGTTCTTGCAAAGATTTCTCCCCCCCGCCCCCCATTATGCAAAATCTACAGGATGTGCACATATTGACAATGCAACGTGGCTGAAAACTATATATAGGGTATTACATAGGATTCAATGACAGACTATCACTTTGGATTTTTTTTTATATTTTTACTTGTGCTCTTTGCAATAGTCAGCTATGTAATGTGTCCCTTGGCTGGGTCTGGATTGAACTAGATTGTGATTTCAATAGCTAAATATTTGAACATGCATTTTAATGAAAGTGAATCATGACGTGAAAAAAAGGTTAACACAAGTTGTAGCGATTTATTTTTTTTAAAGTTTATTATTAGGATTTAATTTCCAGAGTTTGTTACTGTAAACTTCAATTTTATTTATTTATTGTAAGAAAAAGATTTAGCAATTCTAAAGAAATGAATAACATTTTTTTTTAATGCTCGTTCCACTCACAGTGCACCATTTTGATTGCACAGATACTAGCAATGCATTTTGAGATGGGAGAAATTGTACCTTTTTTTTTCCTAAAATTAATAATTTCTTTACACTTTGATTAGAACAAAACACACACACAAACTCTGTGCAATGCAAACACACTCTGTTCACTCTGTGCAATGCAGACCAATCGTCTGTGGTTCTTTTTAAATATCTGTAACATTAGAAGAGAGAACTTGCCGGCACGTCGGTACTGGACTGCTCTTGCAGGTGGGCTGTTGATAGTAGATAATAGCTGTCGGACATACATGCAGGCTAGGCCAGGGCTATTCATTGCAAGTTTGGTGCTCCTATTAAATAAGGATGATTTGTGTGATCTGAAAAAAAAATCCCAAAACAGAAAATAAAATAAAAAAGGGTGCGCTATAGTGATATGGAAAGTATGCACACTGTATGGTTTTGTGGGCATCTGTTATGCCCATCTTGTTATCTAAATAGATACTCTGACACATTGCTTACTCTGGGTACTATAAAGTGGATGATTTGCCTTATTTATTATGTTACATTTTTTTTCTCTCTTTTTTTTTTTTTTTACAGGCTGTTGCCCACTGATGTTCCAGAAAAAATAACCACACCTTCTATGTGGGAACTATTCTTCTAAAACTATACCTCTGTATAGTATTAAAAAAATGGCTTCAGACAGCCCAGAGTCACTCATGACAATATGCACAGACTTTTGCCTGCGAAACCTCAAGGGAACCCTTTGCTACCTCCTTGACAATGAAGTCCTCCATCTTCACCCAGACATCTTTCTGCCCAGCGAGATATCTGATCGTCTAGTGAACGAGTATGTAAAGATCCTTAATATAGTGTAGTAGTAGTGGGTGGCAAATAATGCAAATGCGAGAGATTGGATAAGGACTGAATTCATTTCAAACTATTTAAATGGAAATATTTTGGCAGGAAAAAAAATATCCTTTGCTTACATTAGTTTTTCAGCTCACTGTAGGCTTCATCTGGATGAACCTAGGGAGGTGAAATGGATAGTGTGAGAAAAAGAAATGTAAGCCTTATTGGTACCAATGCTGGTTAGACTTGGTACCCCAAATTTTCACACATTATATTTTGTGGGATTTTTCTTTCACTATCATGATGTACTTCCACATAGCAGTATGTGGGATATGTCTGTTATGTGCCTTGTTTGTATGTTGATGTTTGATCCTTTAGAAATGTATCCAGTATAAGAAAATTATAATTTTTTGAATTAAACTTGTCCAGTTGCAGAAACAAAATAAACGTAAAACAATAAACCATAATATTTATTTTAAAATAATTTTTATTAGATTAATAATTTTTACAACTGTTTTGTTAATGGATTGCAACTTACCAGCCATGTAACTGCGTTATATTAGGACTCGTTAGTTTTCACTTGTCTTACCATAGTCTTGCACTACTTATTAAAGAAGTTGCAAAAATTCTTAAAATGACCAGAATAGGATAGCTATTAGAGGCCTGGTGCATGCTGGGAGGTATTACATGCAGCAGACAGTTTAAAGGACCACTATAGTGCCAGGAAAACATACTCGTTTTCCTGGCACTATAGTGCCCTGAGGGTGCCCCCACCCTCAGGGTCCCCCTCCCGCCTGGCTCTGGGGAGAGGAAGCGGTTAAAACTTACCTTTCTCCAGCGCCGGGCGGGCAGCTCTCCTCCTCCGATCCTCCTCCTCTCCTCCCATTCGGCTGAATGCGCACACGTGGCAAGAGCTGCGCGCATATTCAGCTGGTCTCATAGGAAAGCATTCATAATGCTTTCCTATGGACGCTGGCGTCTTCTCACTGTGATTTTCACAGTGAGAATCACGCAAGCGCCTCTAGCGGCTGTCAATGAGACAGCCAATAGAGGATTTGGAGGATGGATTAACCCATTTATAAACATAGCAGTTTCTCTGAAACTGCTTTGTTTATAAAAAAATGGGTTAATCCTAGAGGGACCTGGCACCCAGACCATTTCATTAAGCTGAAGTGGTCTGGGTGCCTAGAGTGGTCCTTTAACTGGAGTTCTACTAAAATCTAATGCAGTATATAGGTTTCTTTCTTTCTGCAGTAATCTAGATGTTTACTAAATGACACACCGACAGGAACATTTGGATGTTTTATAATTTTCCCCTTTGTTAGGTACATTGAACTGGTGAATGCGGATAGCGGCTTTGAACCCCACGAGAGCTTTTTCACACTGTTCTCAGAACCGCAGAGCACAAGACTTACTCGTCTTCATCTGCGGGAGGATATTGTTCAAGATCAAGACCTGGAGGCCATCCGTAAGCAGGTGAGCTGGGAATCATATACTATAAATCTCACCCCTGACCTCATTCAAATGTTTTGTGCTTGCTAGTAGGTAGGAATTGTTTGTTCTAAACTGCACTGAATTTTCTAATCTAATCTAATGTGGAGTTCAAATTGGATCTCATTTAACAGGTCACAACATCATGCATCTACATATGTTTTTCCCTTTATTTTTAGACTACATATGCCATACATATCTGTAAATCCCTAACCCAATATTTGTTTTGCGTAGACTGATTTCCTTATTGTTGGGTATCCATAGCGAATTCAAAGTAGTGTAGTAGTCTTCTCTAGAGCCTAAGTCAACAGTGTCCATTTGTGCCTTTATAGAAGACCTATGGATACTGCTCCTGCCCTAATACAGTGTTTGTGTAAAGCGCCCTTTTTACAAGTCTGTTTCTTCATTCTTTACAGGACCTTGTAGAGCTGTACCTAACTAACTGTGAGAGACTGACAGCAAAGAGTCTGCAGACCCTGGCAAGGTTTAGCTCGACCCTTGTGTCCCTCAGTCTCTTTGGTTGTCTCAACATATTTTATGAAGAGGAAAACCTGGGAGGTTATGATGAAAGTGACTGTTTGGTCAACCCCACCCGCCAGGTTCTTGTCCGGGACTTTACTTTTCAAGGATTCCAAAACCTGCGTTTCTTAAATCTTGGCTCTATCACCAAAGGTGTGGATGTTGAGGTGATGCTGCGTCCTCTGCGCTCTTTGAAAGCCCTAAACTTGTCGGGGATCCAGTTAAATGATGTGAGCTTCCTAACACAGTGGAAAGACACCTTAGTATCACTAGTCCTGTACAACATGGACCTGTCTGAAGAGCACATTAGAGTTCTCATCCAGCTGCAGAAATTGCGGTAAGTCGTTTGCGCTGTGGTCTGTTCATAATTAACTCAATGCCTTCTCTTAATTAGCATATTTGGAATTACTGCTTCACTTAATCATCTTCTATTTGCTTCATGTAATTATTCTAGCCTGAAATGAATCACAGGTTTTAATGATCGGTAGCTTTTCACTCTTAAACTTGTCCTACAAGGTAGCTTTATTAAGGTCCAATGCTATTCTGAACTTCTTATCACTTGGGAATATTGGCCATTTGGTGGTCCAAAGATCTTACTTGAACTGGAAATGGGAAGGCCCTGGTCATAGGACCTTTTAAAGTGCCTCTGTCACCTTATGTGGTGTTTGCATATTTTGCAAAGACCCTTGATGGTGACTTTGCTGCTGGCTGTGTGGTGGCCGCGGGGTGCAGGAATAGGTGAGATTTAACCTGATCCTGTCCCTCTTCTTTGTGGGATCCTTTTTTGCTCCTGGTACTTCATCTGCTAGGAATTCACATCACATTCCTATTGTGTTTTTATATACCACCTCCTCTAGATTGTAAACTTGTTTAAGCAGTGTCCTCATTAACCTATTATTCCTGTCAAAATTTGTAATAGTTTGTTTCATTTGTTGTTAAAGTCCCTTTAATAATGTTATATATTTAATCTGGTGTCACTATATACATGCCAATAATAATGTGTGAGAGTACAATCATGATGGGAGCCTCCATAGACCATCTTTTCACCCTCAACCTTGACAGAGCTTGGTTGCTTTAATTCAGCCTTCTTGTCAAGCATAGGAAAAATACATAAGTTCCTACTTTGTCTTATGATATCCTTTGACTGAGTTGTACATTTTAACACGCTCAGTGTGGGAATTTCATTAGGTTTTTATCTTTATAAAATACTCATTTGGGAGGAATGGGGAAGGAGTAACAGAGTTGGTTTAGAGTGAGTAGTGTGCCATATATTTAGAAGTTAATCATAATGGTGTTTTGCTAAATGCCAATCCTCAACCTGTATATTCTTCAGTGTGCTGTAGGCTCAGCAATTGTCTTTCTACAAACAAAGTGACTAATATAATTATATCTTTGTAAATATTTTAATCAGTGGACTACTATGGGATTCCTGGCCTTTTGATACACTTTAATTAAAATTTTAATTGAATGGCATCAGCTCAGCATGAGGGACAATAAGTCATGTTTTTGACCTCTGTAGTGATGACACGTATCTTTTGCATCTGAGATGTCATATTTAGCCATAGCCTGGCCTGCAGACTTCATGGGAGAACGAGACATCCACTGGCCTATAGACAAGTATCAAAAACCTACCTGGCATGAAGCAGTGATAGTTAATCTCTAAAAATTAATCATTTGCAGTATCAAACGATGGCTATCACACATATAATGATAGATCAGTGCTAGCATAAAAGGAACATTGATTAGGACTGACATAAATGGAGTATTGATTAAGACTTGCATAAAAGGAGTATTGATTATTATTGGCGTAACAGGAGTATTTATCGGGACTGGTGTAATGAGATTGTAGAGTGAGCGTTATAAAATGAAAGTATAATGTCAAACTAAAATACAGGGAATGGAGATTGTAGAAGACAGATAGGAGAGCACAGGAATAAACAGTAGAGAATAGAGTCTGGAATAAAGGGGAGGGCAGCAATGATAAGAATTGCTGGTGTAGTAGGGTCATAGAGGGGACTGATATAAAAGCAGCTGTGAATAGAAGGGACAGGCTTATATAGGGGGTTTATTGGCCAGAATTACCATGGAAGAGGCGAGAACTAGGGAGACCAGAAGGTAAGTTATTGGCTTGGTGGAAGGGGAATAGTAAAAAGGCACATTGTTATGTAAATTGGCTAACCTGCCAAGAGCCTTTATTATATTAAGTGTGTGTGTGTGTGTTTCTATATAATGATGGCTTGACAAATCCACTATGTCATGGCATCATGGTGACACAGAACTGAGATCTGGTGCCATGCATTTGGCTCTCTGCAGGTTAGAGTAGATCAAAAGACCTTTTGGGCTGGTCACCAAAGACTGTAAGGGAATGAGTCTCTTTTAGCTGTGTCCCCAGAAAGTTTTCTCTGCTGTCTCAAATCGGCATCCACCCTTACCGATAAAACGCACACCTTAAGTAAAGTGGTTTCCGGACGCTTGTTTAACCCCTTAAGGACACATGACATGCGTGACATGTCATGATTCCCTTTTATTCAAGAAGTTTGGTCCTTAAGGGGTTAAACGCAGCCTATAAAGACTGCTGCCCTCTAATGCATTCATAAAACTGGAACATTTAAACAACCTTTATCTAGGTATGAAACTGTTATGATAGACTGAATTGCCGACCTTTCTACAACTGCAAACAGTACACATTGTTTAACTACCATGGGATATCCCAGTGCCGTCACTGTGACCCATATATCCCTAAGTCACATGTGACTTAAGAGTTACCAGACAGTTTTTCAAAATTCTGTGTTCTCCTTTCATACAATATATCAAATATCTCCTGATTCACAATACTCAAAACCTGATTAATTAAAGAGCGAATGGATAATCTGCACAGTACGTTTGCATTTTATTTCTACCATGTGTGATCTGTACTATGCGGAACAAAATACTGGTACATTTCTAGGTTTCTAAATGGATTAAACGCTACACTGCTGCTATTAGGTCACTCATTCCATTGTCATTCTTTCTCTTGGCCATACAGACACCTTGACATCTCACGTGACAGGCTGTCCAGTTATTACAAGTTCAAACTGACTCGGAAAGTGCTAGGCCTTTTTGTGCAGAACCTGGAAGATCTTGTCTCATTGGATATCTCTGGTCACCTGATGTTGGAAAACTGTGCAATTTCCAAGATGGATGACGAACTCGGTCCTCCCAGGTAAGATTAAGGGGGAAAGGAGAGGTCATGGTATTAGCATACCTAGGGAAAACAATGATGTATACTGAAAATAGTATTCTGCAGGTTGTAGATAGGCCTTTAATATTTAGCAATGATAATTTGTCACACCCGTGAACCATAGGAAAGCTTTTTGTGTGACAGGATATTGAGCTTCTAGCTTTAAGCAATGTACACCATTGAAATATGTCAGTAAAATCCTAGCACAATCAAAAGACACACGTGAGACAAAGTAGGGGCTGCTTTGTTTCATGCACATTTGGAAAATTGCAAAACAAGATTAAGATATTGATTAAAGGGACACCATAGTGACAAAAACAACTTTAGCTTAATGGAGCAGTTTTGGTATATAGATCATACCCCTGCAGTATCACTGCTCAATTCTCTGCCATTTAGGAGTTACATCACTTTGTTTGTGCAGCCCTAGCCACACCTCCCAGCATGTGACTTACACACCCTTCCTAAACATTTCCTCTAATGAGTCATGTAATGTTTATACTTCCTTTATTGCAAATTATGTTTACTTTAAAAATGTCTTATCTCCTGCTCTGTTAATAGCCTGCTAGACTCTGCAGGAGCCTTCTGTATGTAATTAAAGTTCAATTTATAGAGCAGGAGATTAAACTTCAAAACTAAGTTAGATCTGACTGAAAATGAAACCATTTTTTTTCCATTCAGGCTGTGTCAGTCACAGCCTGGGAAGGTGTGGCTAGGGCTACGTAAACAGGAAGAAAAAAAACAGATTTGATTCCTAAATGGCAGAGAATTGAGCTGTGAAACTGCAGAGGCATGGCCTATACACACAAACTGCTTCATTAAGCTAAAGTTGTTTTGGTGACTATAGTGTTCCTTTAAATACTGGTTGTCTGGTCATGTCCATTAAGCTGTAGCTGCCTGGAATAAGGATCTTCCTGAGTGATGTAGATACCTATCAAAGTAAAAAAAAATATATATTTTTTTATTTTTAACATGCAGCAATATTTGAGCCTTGAGGCAAGATATTTTTTTATATTTCTTGCGATTTATCATCTGTAATTAACTTTTGAGTTTGCATAACCCTTGAATATAATTTTTTTTTTTTTCACTTTTAGTATTGAACCCTCTAAGAGCAGCATCATTCCTTTTCGAGCTTTGAAAAGACCTCTGCAATTCCTTGGTCTCTTTGAGACCTCCCTCTGCAGTTTGACACACATCCCATCCTACAAGGCAATTACTCGCTTGATTTCTACACTATTAATATGGGACAACATTCAACATGCACCTATGACGCTTTATGGCGATACCAAATGAAAGCAGAATGTTTAGAAAATATAGGACAGCATTTCCAAAAGCCACTTAGAGAAACACTGACGCCTAACTTTTTGCTCTGTTTTTCATAGGTGAGCGGGGATAAGAATGAGGAGCAGGTGCTAAATGCCATCGAGGCATACACAGAACATCGTCCTGAGATAACGTCTCGTGCCATCAACCTCCTCTTTGACATTGCTCGTATAGAAAGGTGCAACCAGCCACTGCGAGCTCTACAGGTAGGAGAACCTTTGCTGTAATTTGTGCAAAATGCATGGAATTAAGATGGGTGTTTTTAGCTTGCTAAAAAAGTACCAACAAAAATAAGGATGGAGTTTTAATTTAATCTCCGTATCACAGACAGTAAAAAGTTAATCATCATATTGACAGATCGAGAACTTCGTTTCATTGTAAAGATGAATAAGATTAATTTCTACAATCTCACCTATGTTTCTCTCTCTCTCTCCAGCTGGTTATTGCTGCTCTGAAGTGTCATAAATACGACAAAACTATTCAGGTGACTGGAAGTGCCGCACTATTCTACCTGACCAATTCTGAGTATCGAGCTGAGCAAAGCATTCGACTCAGGCGGCAGGTCATCCAAGTGGTGCTAAACGGCATGGAGTCTTACCAGGAAGTGACAGTAAGCGTTTGTACATCTCTAGTTTTCCTACTGCTTTTCAAACTACATGCTCTGATGACCAAAGTAAGCCATCTTTCTCTTTAGGTGCAAAGAAACTGCTGTCTCACACTTTGTAACTTCAATATCCCAGAAGAGCTGGAGTTCCAGTATCAACGGGTTAATGAGTTACTGCTAAACATCCTCATACCAACCCGGCAAGATGAGTCCATTCAACGCATTGCTGTCCATCTCTGCAATGCCCTCGTCTGCCAGGTGGACAATGATCACAAGGAGGCTGTCGGCAAGATGGGTTTTGTCATGGTAAGCGTAGATAAAGGGAAATTGCATTTGAGACAGCGTCACTGACAATGGCAACCAGTGCAAGAGCATCGCTGTTGCGGGATCGGGATTCACAGCAGATGAAAAACAGTCAACTTAAATGGGTGATAAATCCACAACTGCGTGTCCCCTTTAGTGAGTGAGGTCTGCCTTAACAACAAACTACTGAGTAAATCAATTTTGCTTATTCCTTCTCTTCCTTAGACTATGCTGAAACTGATACAGAAGAAGCTACAGGATAAAATGGTGCGTATTCTAATGTTTAATCACAGTTTACATTTCATGGTAACAATATTTTTTCACCTACATACAAAATGTAGGCTCAGTCTGTAATGTATCTATCCGTTTTCTTTTCTAAATGAACTCTTTCTGGGTTGTGTTTACTGATTCTATTTAGAAATCTGTGGCAATGGATCCTTTTGTCAGTTCACAAATGACTGGAGTCCATATCTTCTCTGTCTCTTTTTCCTTCCGGTAGTGTGACCAGGTTATGGAGTTTTCTTGGAGTGCTTTGTGGAACATTACAGACGAGACCCCAGATAATTGCGAGATGTTCCTCAACTACAGTGGCATGAAGCTATTTCTCGAGTGCCTAAAAGTGAGTGGTCTATCCAAACATATTTTATGGCAATGTACCCTTTGGGTAGCAGTTTGCTAATTGCAAAATGTGGGTAATACCGTCAAAATTGGCACACAAAAAAGTGTACTCCTTAAAGACTGTATTCAAATTTGACGGTAATTGCTGACCAATTATAAGCAATTTTGGTCATCTGAAAAATAATATATACTTCAAGACATAGTTTAGCAATTTGTCTGTGTAACACGTCAAATTCCAGGGCTGCCAAGCCCCAACTCTGGATTCAGTCTATTAAACTCTTGGATATATTGAGTCAATGTTGGGACCATACAGTCCACGTAGTGGTTATAGTGCTATGCATCAAAGAGCAGTGGAAGTCTGAAAGTTGTTTTTCAGAAAACCAGCACATAGACTCATAACACCATAACCACCACAGTGAACTGTGGTTTAAGTATGGTTAATTTCCATCTAGAAGAAAGAAAATGCATGAATTTACTGAGCCAAAACAGCCTTTCCAGAGGGGAAAAAAAACTGTATTACTAGAAGCTTCTATATTGTGTCAGCCCATCATACCCACCCTGTTGATAATATTGGTGCTTTATACCTAAACATCTGAATTCAAACGCATCATCTGTCTACTTTTCAATTCTAGGAGTTTCCTGAGAAGCAAGAACTTCACCGCAACATGCTGGGGTTGCTGGGAAATGTGGCTGAAGTGCGTGAACTTCGTCCACAGCTAATGACATCACAATTCATCAGTGTGTTCAGGTAGGTTCACAGCCTTAACAGCAAACTTGCTATTTGACGTTTTAATGATGCAGACGTAATGTTTATTGGGACTTGTCATTTATTGCATCTGGTGATTTGACAACTTTGCATTACAAATTGTAGGCTGAAATAGCTAAACAAAAAAAAAATATTAAGGAAAAATCGCAAACGCAACTTGGCTGAAGATATTGTTTTCCAACTTTTATTTCCCTTAGGTTTTGCACATTATTAGTAAACATTCTTATTGTTTTATTGTACTGAAGAGACCTTCTTGTGTTTCTCTTGGCAGTAACCTCTTGGAGAGTAAAGCAGATGGCATTGAGGTGTCTTATAATGCTTGTGGTGTGCTGTCACATATCATGTTCGATGGTCCCCAAGCGTGGTTCATTGGAGAGCCAACCCGCCAGGAGGTGGAAGAACGAATGTGGAAAGCCATCCGGAGCTGGGACATCAGTTCCAGAAGAAACATTAACTACAGGTGAAAATAGCAACATTCTGTCTATATAAAATGTGGTCCTGTTGCCATTTTCTTTTAATTTTTAACTTAACCGCAGCTAGTGCCATTTAAGCACACATCCACATTTCTGTGCTATGTACAAAACAAGCAAGGGATGCTAAAAATATAAATCAAGTATGCATTCTTTCGTAATTTAATTACATGTTTAAATATGGAGCCCTATAAAAACATGACAGTAAGAAACTTGGTGGAAAGGGCACATGTTTCAACATCAACTCCTCCTCTATTGTTCTTGTTTACAGGATTGTTCTTTGTGATTGGTCATCAGAATGACTCTACCTTTTACACACACACACACACAAGCACGCATCAGTGCTTGCTTTGACTTTTTGCTATACAAGTTCAGTGAAGGTTATTATATTAAATGTGTACTGCACTCTCCATATAGCCGAGAGCTACACTCTTCAGTCGCTCAACATTCTAATAGAGGGGAGGTAGATGTTGGCAGCTGTGTCCGTCCCAAAGATATCAAAACATCTTTATTGTCATTATTATTATTAGCATTTGCATAGCACCAACATATTCGGTAGCGCTTTACAATTTTGAAAGGGGAGATTTAGAAGTGAAGATGGTCCTACTCAAAGCTTTGTCTATGAAGATTTAATGGAGGTTAGATGTCTTGCCCAGGGACACGAGCTGGTGAGGTGATCTGACCAATGTTTGTTTCATTGACCAGCTTTAGTTTGTAGTTTTTCTCCCTCAATAAAATTAATGGAAATGTTTTTGAGAAAGTTAGGCCATCACGCAGACTTTGTGTATTCTATATTCTGTATCATCCATAAGACACATGATGATATTTTTCAGATTTAATCTATATACTGTTTTAGAAAAATCTTCAAAAACTGTATAGGTTGAAAGATGTATACATATAGTAAACCTGTCCTCCAAATTTATGTTGATTATAAGCTCATATTCAGGTAGATATGGATAATATATATATATAGACTCTGATGGCAAAACAACCATAAAATGTATAAATTAAAAGATATACTCATCTAGAGTTTACACACTAAACTAAATGTAAGTTGTATTCCTAATTTCTTAGTGTTCACAGCACTGTCTGCATAACCGCGAAACCCAGGGAGGTCACATAAAAAAAAAAATCACTGATTAAGATTTAATTCTATACATATGCTTGCAAAATGTGCAGATGAAAGCATAGTCATACGCAGGAGTGTTGAGCAGCTCAACAGAGGAAGTGTCATTGCAAGCTTTTAATATAACATATTTCTATCTGTGTCCATACATTTGTTGATGCCATTGTACAGATAAAATAAGAGCCCTGTAAAGCAGGTCTCTGTCATAAATTCATTAAAGAGTCCCTTTGATGGGCTATTTTTATTTGTCGTTTTCGCAAATCTGGTATGTTAGCAATTGCTAGAATCTATTTTTTTTCCTGCAGATCATTTGAGCCCATTCTTCGGCTCCTCCCCCAAAACGTATCTCCAATCAGCCAACACTGGGCAACCTGGGCACTTTATAACCTTGTCTCTGTATATCGTAAGTATCACAACCAGGAGATGTTACAGTCACGTACTAGACTGACAATGTCTACATTTTGCCATGACAGCTTTTGGGAGGCTGTTTCCAGGGATGCTTTGCAAGCGGTACAGTACTAACCTTTTTGCAATCCAACCTTTGTGAACAGTTTCCATGATGGTCTGTCAGTTTTGCTGCAGAGGACCATTGAAACTGTAGTCCACAACAGCTGGAATGCCAATGTTTAACAACATATGAATGGAGTGAGCATTGATGTTACAGATTCCGTTGTAACATCTCACTATTCCTTGTTGGAATAGGTAGGAATTGGTCAGGCCTATCAAAGTACAGTGTTTGATGAGTTTCTTTATCTTAGGCATTTAGTGTCTCTATAAAGAAACACAGTAGAGTGTTAAATCACAAGTTAATCCAGGTGCATACACCATAGAGAAGAAGATCCATAACAAATGTCCTACCAAACATGCCGACACAGAACTTCTGATAAAATGCTCCAGGGCCTGTCTTTTCTCCCCCTGTTCTGGCAAGAAAAGGTCCCACCACCTCTTTATGGTTCCAATGCGTGGAAGACCTTTGCTCCATTGAGGAGCTTGTCCTTAGTGCAGAGGAACGCCAGCAGTCCTATTTAGACCCACTGGCTGCTATCCATTGGTACAGTTGAATTCCAAGCCATGCTGACATGAGAACCTAATTGTACCATCACTACTATACAGATAGAGCTGAATGTGTGGGGGAGATTTTTATAGAAAGACACAGTTCACTAATTTGGTGCACTAATGGTTTATAGGGTTGTTGGTTATATATAGCGACAATTTGGTAGGAGTATGTTTTACACAAGTAACTACATGTAACCTGCCTTTGTATCTAACCTGGAAACTCAATAAACATTGATTTACACAATAAAAATGCTCCAGGGCCAGAAACGACATAGACCTACTATTTACAATCTGTGAGTGTGCTTATTACATTTCTAGTTATGTGTTACATTACTGCCACTGTATAGTTTTCAACATGGAGCAATAAAGTCTTGTCATTTTTAAACTGGTAATCTGCTTTGGTGGTATTTCCAGTTTCTGGCACTGGAGCATTTTCTTGTATTTTGTAAAAAGAAAAAAATATATAGTAATTTTGCCTAAAGAAACAGGATCCGTCTTACTAACGTGATGTGTCTTTACTGTACTACAGCAGACAAATACTGTCCATTGCTGATCAAGGAAGGAGGGCTCCCTCTGCTGGTAGATCTTGTCAACATGCCTTCATCCCACCAAGAAACAAAGGATATGGCCAGGTACTGTAGCTGGCTGGAAAATGAAATGTAAAATGTAGTTGCAGACAGCTGGTTTTCAATATAGTCAGGATAGTTCTTTAAATGTAGCAACTGACACACTGGAAAAAAAGACTTGATCCATGACCAATCAGACATTGGCTGTTGTCTCTGTACACATGAACTCTGCATGTTGTGGCCTAGTTCCGGGTGCGCTCATAGGCTGGTAAGTGTGGCGTCATTAAAGTGTATTTGAGGCACTGATTGAAGGCAAAGCAGTGTGGTAGTGCTGGTCACAGTGGGTTAGTTTGTTACTGGAGATGACTGCAAATAGAGGACTTTATAAAGGACTGGGACACTTTATTTGTATAAGTGTCACTCCCATAGGGTTCCATAGGGCTTGTGGAAATGGAATATTGACTCACTGTGACTTTTAAATGTACAAGATTAAAAAAAGCAATGCAAATACCAGTGATGATTATAACCTTTTTTATTTTTTTAAAGTTATTTTCTTTTCTTCTAAAACTAATCCAAAACCTGCAACTCTGGGGGTATTATTAGATTACGGACAGCTAGTAGCTATTGTAGAGAACTTGTCACCAAAAGTTACTTCCCAACATTACCATGTATTTTTACACTAGATGTGTATATGTACCAAGATATCCCGCAGTGCTGTACAATAGGTAAAAAGGACAAACAGTTATGGTGATTCTAACAGTACATTATTGTCATTTATATAGCGCCAACAGACTCCGTAGCGCTTTACAATATACAATATATAGGGCATTTGGTTATCTAGTAACATACGCCTTTTTCTCTCCCTTTAATTTAGGAAGTAATTAATTCCATTTTCTGTTTGTTTTTTTCAGGAAAGTCCTTGAACATTGCAGTAATTATAATGAAGAAAGTATGGACACAGCACTATAGAAAGCACACCTGCAACATCAAACTTCAATGCCCTCTGCAACTCTCCAAAGAGAGAACCTTTTACCTATCTAAAAAAAAAAAAAAAAATACAAATCAAAATTGTAGAGGGTCATCTACAGCCAACATCAATTGACTTGGAGAGACTATTTTTATTATTCTTTTTTTTGGCACACAAGAAAACCTTATTATGTTTGGTTTAATATTTGTTGATTTGATATATATTTGGATGTGATCAACTATAAAAGAAACAGTGAATTAAGAGACATGGTGAAATCTGCTCCAGGACATATATTTCTCTGAAGCAGTTGATGCAATGTATTTTGGGATTTCTATTCAATGATCAATTCAGCACTTTACCTGTTGGGTCACCTATCCAATAATAGAGGTGATCGCACTGTGTTTGCAAGCTCTGAATCAAGCAGACATGGGGTTATGTTCTCTCTCTGTGATGCACACAGATTCTTATCTGTCACCCAGCTTTGAGAAGGTCTTGTAGCCTCTCCCATGGAATGATTCCACAAAGATTTAAATAAGTATCTTCACACTAGTGAAATGCATTCAAAAATGAAATCTGGCAGAGATTAAAATAAAAGGAAGTTGTTGAGCGTTCACGTCACCGCCTCACACCACGTATGTGCACCAGAGAGCACTGCCGTAAACTTTGTGTGCTAGCCTGCATAGTGTGGCGTGGCCTCACTCAGAATAAGTGGACTTCACTGCCATTCTCTGCTGTGGACCTGGCTTTCAAAGCACTCTGTGCTGATATTCTTAACACTCGCTCTGAAACAGAACAAATGAATTGCAAATCTTCATCCCGTGAGTCAGTAAATGTGCTTTAAAACCTATATATGTAAGCAAGAGGACCTATTAATTGACCACTGCCAGGATCTGTCATAGAATTGAGATGTTTTCTAGGTATGGTCTTGAGTTCATTAGAGGATTTGGCAATGATAATGTAAACTTAACAGATTTACAAAAAAGACAAAATCACTTGGGATAAATTGCCGAGACTATTACTAAGTTAAGGGTATTTTGACTTTCCTAAAGTACAATAGAAATGAACTATAACCTGTGTGGATAACTGCAAATTTTCATCATAAAAAGTGTTGCAGGCAAAGCCTTTCAGCCACCTTTGTTGAAGGGGCCTACAGTCATTACTTTTTAAAGGGTTAAACGCCTCCACGTGAAGACAGAATTGAGAATCTATTTAAAATGGGGAGAACAAAATGACTGAACACCTATATAAGGACACAGTGCCAAAGCTTTCGAGGAGTGGAGACTAGGACTGTGGGGACAGCCATTTGAAACCTAAAATCTGTGAACAACACCGGTTACAAATATTATTCATGTATTAATGCAATGGGCTGTAGAACTCTACTCTAAATTATCACTTTCAAGGAACCCATATGTAAGCCATTACCATAAAACCTGTCTATATGTTGTGTTGACATTTGTAGCGGTGTATGCATAATTTTTTTATTAATAAATTTTAATCTGCCTTCCTTAAAACACATGATGGCTGGCAAGGTATCCCTCTTCTCGCATTTGGATGTTACAAATCCTTAACCCCCTTAAGGACACATGATGGAAATATTCCGTCATGATTCCCTTTTATTCCAGAAGTTGTGTCTTTAAGGGGATACAAGTATGAAAGTCCATTAAAAATCGTAACCTGCAGAAACGTTAAAATAAAAGGTTAACACAACATAGAGAGAGCGTTTTTATACGCTGTGTGACAGACCCACTTTATATATTGGCGCTAAAGCCTTCTGTTATGAGAATAGCGCTATGTGATGGATAAGGAAGTGTCAGGAGAGATGAAAGCTCTTAATCACATGTAGTCAATTAACCCCCATTCAATGTCACTAATCTATCTGAACACCAGTTCAAGACCATACGGTTAATTCTGACTTCATGTACACCTCCCACAACTACATGCTGCCCTGCTATGTAGAATTTATATGCTGTAGGAATGAAACTTCATCGCTTCACACAATTTGTTTTGATTAGTGAATCGACATTCTCTTTTTTTTTTTGAGACATATAGAATGATACAACACCGCAATATCATGTACACAGCAGAGTTTTATGTCATACAGAATATAAACTGTTAACATTTGGTGTTGATTAGTGAATTGATCACATCCCTACAGAACATGAAGGCTACATACTGCAGGGGAGCACAATACACTATGTGTCCAGGTACCTAATGGTGGGTCAGGCATTCTCATATATATCTGTTTGGCACGTGGCATCAAAAGATTCAATGCCAACGCTTTGTAAATGGGTTCATATACTCTGAGATTGCTCTTTTATATGTATACTTACCTACACAACCTAACCGTGGTAATGGTCTTTAATCTGTTTGAAATCTGCAATTATCTGTGTGTCAAGTATCAATTTCCTCTATTTGTTTCTAAGTTTTCATCTCCTATCTTCTCCATTATATTTTGGGGTTTTGTTCTAAAGTGTTCTTTAGGGAATCTGCAATATTATCTTATTTCATGATACCCAAAGAAGGGTGGAAAGGCTTGAAAAAAAACATAGTGGCCATAGGCTTTTAAAAACAAAATATTGTTTTTGTCTCAACATTGTGTCTATGGCAAAAGTCCTAGAGAGGCAATGAAATGGGACTGGTGTTGCACTTAAGATTCACACAGAAGTTTACATACCTGAACACTTATCCTCTCACTGTCTCCTGGAGGACCTCAATTTAATAAGAGATGTACTGCAAGCCTCATGGATAACTAAAGGATCAACTTTTACGTGGGGGCTACCATATTTTTGAATTCCATGGCACAAATTAGATTTATTATGGACTCTGATTCCTTGTGTTTGTCATTTTGCACCAAAATCCACTCCACGATTCCTCATTATGAACCAAACATGCAGCAGAACATTCACAAATTGTATTTTTCTGGTTCTCCCAAATGTAGCAAAGACTTTTACTGCCTTAGAGGAATTTGTTTTCAATCATCCCTTTGGATTTCTCCACTCATTAGCTCACCTTTACTCCCTTAGAGGGCTGTATAAATACCCATCGCATTGTAGGCGTACAGTAACACTGTGCAATGTGTTTGTAAAAAATAAAAATGTACAAAAAAAAAAAATTTTAATCTGATGTGCGTAATTAATAAAGTTCCATTAGAAGGATGAAAGAGGGTTGTTGTGTTGGTTCCAGATTGCGGTGGCGATTAACACTTTCAGTTTCACACGTAGCAAAGTCTGTTGTGACACCTGACATGTCATTAGTGTTCTGGAGGGGTTAATTAATTGATATACTGATTAACATGAGATTTATGTTATAAAAAAAATATTCAGCTTTTTTACAGTCATTGCCAAATAATAAAAGAGTTGCATTAACTAAAGGTGGGGAAATTTTAATATAACCGGCACTAGGATTGCTAGACCCACCTTGATTTCCTAGCCACACATCACGTCAACATGCTATAGGGGGTACAAAAAATGTCTGTCAAAAGGTATTTGGAATCCTTATTCTCCAGGAGAAAAAATAGTCAGCTGAAGAATTCCGAAGAACCTGCCTTAAATAATTAGTCTTTTTCCTTGCTGCATCATATGAATTCTACATACTGTAGGCATCTCTTTTCATAGGCTGACCAGCAGCATGGAAGTAATTGGGAACATGGTGGATGTGGCAGCTGGCAACCTCATTGGAAATTGGGGACAGATACAGAAGCCAAGGTAGAAAAGATAAACAGAGAAGAAAACAAGCTAATGACTTAATAAGGGTCTTCTAAGCCCATAGTCCCAAATATTATGAAATTAGTTTAGGCCATTTTCTTTTTATTTACCGCAGTTAACTGATCCCTCTCCTGCAGCACACAAAGACTACAATTAAATTATTGACGGTTTTTCATTCTCCAACAAAATAGTTTAGATGAGAAAATTGGGATAATAAAAGTGTATAATGAGCCAGTGCTCAAAATTTCCACTAGCCATTGGTGAGTGAAAATCCAGCCATGATAAGTATGCCATGGGCCCTCCAAGCTTTCAGTGTACTAGGCTGGTAGCATAAGGCTTGAAATGTTAAGCCCTGTATCCACAATAATTAAATTTGGCATAGATCCAACCAAAGAGCAACTGAAATTGAGGGAAGACAGTAAGCCGACTCTTGCATAAAGGACCCTAAAGGCCCATGTCCATGAGTGGTCTGCTCAGGGTTAAAGGAAATAAACAATATACTCTTTATACCCAAAATCTGTTGGTGATCATCCTCATGGCATGGGTCAACAGAATATAAACCACCAGTTTTAAACCAGTAGGACATAGGTAACCAGGGCTTCCATCAGGGGCTACAGCCCATACAGGTGTATGGGGCCCTGGCATGGTTGAGTGTCTTCCTTCTATTCATAGTAGGTGCAAGGCGCAGAAGCATCTCCTTGCAAGATTTGGCAGGGAGGATAAGCGCCAGCATAGCTGCCCCGTTCCATTATCTGTGAAGGAGCTGGTCTACCCTGCCCACAGAGACCAGCTCCTTCATAGTGCAGTGTGGCATATGCAAAAATGTTCAAAGTACATTATGTTTATACAAAATGAAAAAAACACCAGCTAGGTGTAATTATGTAAAAGTAATCAAGCTACTAGGGAAAAACCTGATTGAAGTAGGTATGGTGCTTGGAGTCCTTCATCACTGTTTACTCACCCTGTAGTAGAGATGCTTAGTATAGAGCATAGTTATAAAAATATCAATCACTACCTCTCTACAGATCACATCCAGTGCTCCTTCAGTCAATGGCTCTGAGCTCTGGCTGCAACAGTCTGAGTCATTGAGAAGCTCTGGAAATGTGAGGGGCAGTTAAAGTGGTCTGCACCTGTCAGGCAGGGTGCCCACACAGAGTTAGAGCCAAATAGGACAGAATGAGAGACCCCTAAAATTCCTTAAATCTGTTCAAACAGGACAGATTTTAATTATGTTTTTACATTTGTAGTTGCTCATTGAAATGTAGACAATAAAGAAATATATATATATATATATATATATATACAGTTGCAAGAAAAAGTATGTGAACCCTTTGGAATGATATGGATTTCTGCACAAATTGGTCATAAAATGTGATCTGATCATTATCTAAGTCACAACAATAGACAATCACAGTCTGCTTAACCTAATAACACACAAACAATGAAATGTTGCCATGTTTTTATTGAACACACCATGTAAACATTCACAGTGCAGGTGGAAAAAGTATGTGAACCCCTAGACTAATGACATCTCCAAGAGCTAATTGGAGTGAGATGTCAGCCAACTGGAGTCCAATCAATGAGATGAGATTGGAGGTGTTGGTTACAGCTGCCCTGGCCTATAAAAAACACACACCAGTTCTGGGTTTGCTTTTCACAAGAAGCATTGCCTGATGTGAATGATGCCTCGCACAAAAGAGCTCTCAGAAGACCTACGATTAAGAATTGATGACTTGTATAAAGCTGGAAAGGGTTATAAAAGTAACTCCAAAAGCCTTGCTATTCATCAGTCCACGGTAAGACAAATTGTCTATAAATGGAGAAAGTTGCTACTCTCCCTAGGAGTGGCTGTCCTGTAAAGATGACTGCAAGAGCACAGTGCAGAATGCTCAATGAGGTGAAGAAGAATCCTAGAGTGTCAGCTAAAGACTTACAAAAGTCACTGGCAAATGCTAACATCCCTGTTAGTGAATCTACAACACGTAAAACACTAAACAAGAATGGATTTCATGGGAGGATACCACAGAGGAAGCCACTGCTGTCCAAACAAAACATTGCTGCACGTTTACAGTTTGCACAAGACCACCTGGATGTTCCATAGCAGTACTGGCAAAATATATATATATATATATTTTTTAATTCTTTATTTATTGTTGTGCATGGTATAACAATAGGCTTGTTCAGCCACAATAGCAGTCTCAAGCAGTAATGTAACGAACAGTTGAAACATAACGTGGCATATGAATATACAGCACATTTTTAATTTTGTAAGAGAAAATATAAACAGTGGGTGAGCGTTGCTTGAGAGTTACTGAAGATTTGACTTTGTCACAATGGCAGAGTTAGAAAACATAAACACAGCATTTGTACATTAGTGGCATGGAGATATCGGCACATTTTTTAAAAGTTAAGTTGTAGTTTGTATGCTAAGTTACACTTTTATGAGCTTTAGTCTTGTGTGTCAGGTAAGGTTATAAGTACAGGCGTAAATACAGATTGACTTACTGACATGTTAGAAAATAATAAAGTAGCAAGCTTAACTAAATTAAGTGTAAAAGTAAAGTAATATACCACCAGGCAAAGCAGGGCATACTATGTCATCGTCAGCATTAGGCATAAAAACAAACTGGCATTTCTTAACGGTAATTATAACATGAATGACAGTGCAGGATGTTTAATTATAAAATGCAGCCGCAGTAACTGCTTTTGAGGCTGTCGGTAGGTTCCGTGGTGTGTGCCTTAGGTGCCAGTCATTGTGGGATCGCCTCCGGCTCTGATTGCATAGGAGGTGTTGGAAGGCAGTTTATTCCCATGCTTGGGGATAGTCCCTATAAGAAGGTCCTCTGAGTCCCAAACTCTTTCCAGAGGGTACCGTGGTTGCCGGGTCTGCCGGTTGTCTGGTGGGTGTAAATGCGGTGCCACTTAAGCCGCTGTGTTCAGGTGCGGGCTGCGTTATATTAGGGTCAATGCTTGGGTATGCCTTCTCTGGGTTCTCCCCCCTGGTTGGTCTCTGGTCCCATTGATAGGGAGCGCTGGTTAGGCGTATTGTGGTGGAGCAGTCTGCTTCCGTGCGCCATAGGGGGTTTTCCATGTTTAGGCCGCTGGAGTTGTTAAGCCGCCGTCGGCCATTTTAAGGAGGCCTCGTGGGAGCCGTTTACCTTCGGCATTTAGTCGCCCTATAGTTGTGGGTGTTGATGACATCTTGCCTGGTGGGGGCCAGGATAACCCCTGCCGGCCCAGAGGGGGGGGTGAACGAGACCGGGAGGACGCCAGTTATGTTATCATAGTAGCCAGATTGGAATGCGAGGCAGCGGCCGTCCGCCCTGCTCTCCTTCTGGGTAGGCCTCTGGTCTCAAGCCCCAGAATGTCTCTCCAGGACCTAGAGTCACCCGGTAACAGGTGCACCAGCTACACCGGGACAATCCAGGACTCCGTTCCCCGAACCTCCAGAGCTCTCATGCAGCATAAGGTGGGTATTTCCCCCCAAATTAGCTTGATTCCACAGGAGCTCCAGTGACCTGCAGCCTGTCGGCATGGCCGCCCGGCCCCGCCCCCCCTGGCAAAATATTCTGTAGACAGATGAAACCAAAGTTGAGTTGTTTGGAAGAAACACACAACACTATGTGTGGCGAAAAAAAGGCACAGCACACCAACATCAAAACCTCATCCCAACTGTGAAGTATGGTGGTGGGGGCATCATGGTTTGGGGCTGCTTTGCTGCTATCATCGAAGGAAAAATGAATTCCCAAGTTTATCAAGACATTTTGCAGGAGAACTTGAGGCCATCTGTCTTCCAGCTGAAGCTCAACAGAAGATGGGTCTTGCAACAGGACAATGACCCAAAGCATAGAAGTAAATCAACAACAGAATGGCTTAAACAGAAGAAAATACGCCTTCTGAAGTGGCCCAGTCAGCGTCCTGACCTCAACCCGATTGAGATGCTGTGGCATGACCTCAAGAAAGCGATTCACACCAGACATCCCAAGAATATTGCTGAACTAAAACAGTTCTGTAAAGAGGAATGGTCAAGAATTACTCCTGACCGTTGTGCACGTCTGATCTGCAACTACAGGAAACGTTTGGTTGAAGTTATTGCTGCCAAAGGAGGTTCAACCAGTTATTAAATCCAAGGATTCACATACTTTTCCCACCTGCACTGTGAATGTTTACATGGTGTGTTCAATAAAAACATGGCAACATTTCATTCTTTGTGTGTTATTAGTTTAAGCAGACTGTGATTGTCTATTGTTGTGACTTAGATAATGATCAGGTCACATTTTATGACCAATTTGTGCAGAAATCCATATCATTCCAAAGGGTTCACATACTTTTTCTTGCAACTGTATATATATATATATATATTGTGTATATATATTTGTGTTCGGGGCATTCTCATATGATATAGAATAAGATGGGTTGTAGAGATGTAGCTTTAGGAATAATCGGTTGAGGTGTGCCGAAACCGACGTATGCTGTAAGCCGGTAAAAAGTGGGCTTACATAGAGGAAATATGAACAATGGGAGTGGAGGGTGGGGCTATTCGTCTGACCAACAAAGGTAAGTAGGGAAAGGGGGGAGTCCCTTTTATAGGTC